CATTATAAGTCGGGTTATATATGCTTGTCTATTAAAAAATAGACTAAATAATATATAAAATGCCTTGTTGTTTATAAAAAAACAAGTAAAATATATTATTTAAAAGTATTATTATATAAATATTTATATAGGCTTTCATGTCTCATGGGACTTTTAAAAAGAACGAAACAAATCAACAAAAAATTTACAATAAATTATAGACCAGACTCCAACCTTAAATATTTATCATAGATTAGACATGTGTCTTCTAAAGCTTGGTCTAGTATGTCCTATTTTCACCCATATCCAACACCTAATCAAAATAATCACCAAATATTTTTAATTGATAGAATCATAATTATCCTTTTTATTTTTATAAATTATTATGAAAATACTAAGCATTTGTATATAAATAGAAATATTAAAACAAAAAAAATGAACCTAATAATAGTAATATCTATTTTGGAGCCTTAAGTTGTAACAAACAAATATAAGGTCATTAAGTTTTTTTATACTCCAACCTATTTCTTGTTTTTGGAATGAATGTGTTAAAAAACACTTTAGCTTCTTCCACAATCATATACACTATAGATTTGACTCAAAACCTTATGAAATCACAAAACATGAAATATATGGCTATAAATTTCTTAGAGTGAGTCATATTGATGGCAATTCAAATTTTGTATATGACAATTACAAAAATCACAAAAATTGAACGATATAAACAAAAGTATTTATACTTGACATTACTTCATCTCGATTTTCTACTGTTAATTTTCTTCCATAATCAAGTTAAGAATATTTGAATATCATCATCTTAGCATTTTACTTAAGTCGTAGCTCCTAATTGTCATGACCATACCTTTCAATGATTACACTTCTTTGTCACTTCCTTATTTTGCAACACAATTTTTATAATAATTTGATTTTTAAAAACAGTTCTAAGAAAGTAATAGGCTTAATTCATCTTTTGATCCTTTAACTTAATTTAATATTTTAATTTAATTCCTTAATTAGAAAACATTACATTTTAGTCTCATAAAGTTGTTCCATTAATTTTTTTGATCATTTCTGTTAAGATTTTAGGTGAAAAAAACGTTAATTACTGCCTATGTGTCAGTTCTAATGAATTGATAATATTTGGCATGGACTTTTTGACATTTTTTTAATTTATTTTTGGTTTTCTTCTTTTTTAATACCAAATTTTACAATTCCAAAAATAAAAACATGTTTCCTCCCATTCCAAAACCTAGTAGTCGTCGTCTTCTTTCTCTTTCTCCTCATCCATAAACTCTTCACATCCTTCTCCTCCCACATCTTTCTTTGTTTCTTTCTTAACATCTTCCTTCATCTTATGTTTTTGACAAAAGCAACAAAATAAGGGGTTTGCTAGATGTTTTATTTTAGATCCAATTTACTATGTGTTTGATTTTCAGATCTGATTTAGCATGTGTTTGGTTTTAGATACGTTTTTAATGAAAAAAGTAGGTATTGCAATGATATTTTGACAGAGGTATTTGTTCTTTTTCAGAGCTGATTTACTGTTGTAGGTCTTTTTTATCGAAAAAATATGTCTGGTCCTCTCCTAATTTCTTTCCTACAGAAAGTGCAGAGTATTTGTTCCCAAGATTGTAAGTTGCAAGATTTTATTTCATTTTAGATTTTTTTTCTACGATGGTGGAGAAGTCAGGGAGAGGCAGGAGCTTATGGGGTAATAGGGTTGACGCAACAACAGTAGGTACTGCAATGACATTTTGATTGTGGATGATTGTTAACATATTTATTTTTCTAAATTTACATTTTCAGTTTCAATTTATTTGAAACCTTGCTTCAATTTATTTCCAATTTTTTTTAAACTTGATTTTTAGCTTTATATAACATAAATTCAACAGGACAAACACTTTGTATCAATGACTACTTGGTATATCCCCTTGATATCAATGACTACTTGGATATCCCCTATTTCATTGTTGCCAAAATTGCAACCATACCTTAAGCACAAGCATCTTGAGTTCGTGCAAAGACATCAATGTGCTTTTTTTGAAGTGTTCCACAACTGACACGAAGCCTGAAGCAAGGATTGTTATTTTTGAGATTATGGAGAATAGGTGGTTCAAAGAGAGGTTCAAACAAATTAAGTTTTAAGTTGAAGATGACGGACTTTGTAGTATTGATGATAATTTTGTTGACATTGAGGATGATAAAACTTCTATAACATGTGTTACATCTGTTGTTGTTGTTGTTTGTTGTAATTGTATTAAATTGAATAATTTTTTATTTTGCATATATGAATTAATATAGGAAAAAATATTTGTTTGATATGTACATTGTTTATTCATGAAAGTGTTTAATATTTTTTTACACATAATTAACATTTTGTGGGGTTTTTAACCTCTTAAAATAAAATCTCTTCAATTTAAATAAAATATTATTTTTTTTTAAATATATATGTTGACTCAGCTTGGTAACTTGTCATGCCACGTAGCAAAGTTAACATTTTTTTTTCTTCTGAATTTTTAATGGAAAGGACATTTTTGTGTAACAAAACCATTATTAGAGGACCAATACATAACCTTTTTTTTTGCTAGGGGACCAAAACGAAACATGAAATTATGTTAAAAGAATTTGAAACTAATTATACCAAAATAATAAGTACCATCGTGACTGACTTTCTTTCTCTTTTGAGATTCAATAGTTGTTAGTCTTGTTTGTCTTATTTTTGCTGTAAATTCATCACCCTTTTTAATAAATAAGTTAATATTAGGTAGAGTTTTTTTTTCTATAACATAGAATGTCCAATAATTTAACTGTATCAATTACCTCGTTCTCAGTTTGATCGGCTGATCTAGTTCAAATTTTAAAATATTGCATAGACATACTATATTTCATCTAAAGCAAAAATCTTAATACATCTTTTCACGTTCAAAACTAGACATATAAAATGTGACTTGAGTGATTTGATAGATGTGATAGTTAAGATTAATAAACTTTGAATAGTATTATAACACTATTTGAAATTTTAGGTTAATGTAACCCTACAAAACAATTTTCTAAAGTAAATATTTACTCCAGTTATAAATTTGTAGTATGAATATATTTCTTTTAACGTGAGACTCTTAATATACAAGACAAACATCACAAACTAAAATTTTAGACCTCAAAATTTTAAGATAAAAAATTATTCTAAAAAAAATCAATTTATTTATAAATATATTAATATTGCAAATTAATTATAAACGTTTTTTTAGCTGGACTAGTAAAAGCAAAGAGTTCTTATTCTCATCATTATGGGTTCAATAACTAACCTTGAAAAAATTTTATTTCTGTATTTATTTTAAAAGGGTTTAATAAAAAACTGTTTTAAAACTATTTTAGGTTTTTATTCATATTAGGTCAACAAAATGACTTCCTCGGAGGCACCCCGATTCTCTAAAAAATTAACCAAGATATTAATTTTCGGATTCACCCAAGATGAGTCTGACAAACAATCTCTGAATTGAAACTTAGGATAGTATTAAGTGAATTTTCTTTAAAAAGAGTTACATTAACAAACATTATATTTAAAACATGTTACCATATATAAACATTATATACAAAGGATAAATTCAAATATAACGTTTTTTTAATAAACATTCAATTAAAATATCATATATTAAGTCAAAATAGTGCTAAGGATATTACCACCATAAATCATTTTTTAAATAACAAAACATCATTATTCACAAAATACAAATCATAAAATAAATTATCAAAATGTTATAATTAAAATACAAAGAAAAATTCAACTACTGCATATATTTGATCCCCTAAGCTCCTCCTATACCTCATGTACTACAAGATATATAGTGCCTCGACTATCATGACATCTCCAATGGTCATCCCATGAGTGCCTTCCTAACACTTTCCTCCTCTCTATGCCCGCTCCCCCAATGGCCACCATACATTGACAAATTGGCAGCACATCAACGGCATGGTCCCCCTAACATGCTCCTATTCTAATATTTTATGATGAGTTGGCCTATGTGGTTCTTTCTACATCTAGTGTCATGTAAGGATGTAGAACTCTATAAAACTATTTGATGTAACTTTATACTGCATCCACTGTTAAGGAGCTAACACACAACGTATATCCGTAGGGACAATATAATTATAAAATACCTCAAATATAACATCAACATCTTTGTGGGTGAAAGTATAAGGAGTTGACATAGGCATCAGCCAGAGTAAAAGGCAATTGTGTCCAAGGGTTGTGTCCGATAATGATCTGCATGTGGCATGAAGTATATATCATATTTTACGATGCAGTCAAGATAAACTCAAAACGGCTTGAACGCCTTATTCCGCTTACACTCTAAACTTGAAAAAAATCTATTAATCCATTATGTTTTGAACTACAACATAATGAACCATGAACAACCTATTTAGGCAATGCATTTATTACAAACATAAAAACGAAGCAAATGAAAGACTTTTCAAATTGTGAAAAAACTTGAAAACTAAGAAACCTTGATTGAATGGAGTGGAGTAGAGGTTAATTGATGTCCTAGACTTGAATGCACGCTAAAAGTAGCAAGAAAACTTAAAAATGGTGGAAACGAATTTTGCTCATAAGCTATGTTTTGGGTTATAAGCTATGTTTTCGGATTAATTAAGTGTTAAATTGGTCTGACTCTACAAAATGAGTATCGTATGGTGAAGGGATCCTTACAGGCATTAATGAAATTACACCATAACAAATTATAAAAAAATGTCAAGGTAGAGATTAGAAATGAAGTTGAAATTGCACCCATTAATAATTAATCAAAGTGTGTTACAAGAACAAAAAAAAAAAAGCCTCATCATCCTTGTTCATCATAAGAAAGGCCCAAAAACAAGAACAAAATCAAAACCTTGGGCCATTTTGGAGAGGGCCAGCTCTCTCTCTCTATGCTATCTATTATTTGTGTATATACATTTTTTTTTACAAAAGATATTGTTATTTTTTATACACCAACAAATTCCTATAGCTCAAAGAAACAACACTAGCAACATTTGTAGTTAGAATTGTGAAATGCAACGCCTATGACAAGCATATTTCGTTGTTTCTTTTGCTTAGTTTCTTGTTTCCAAACTTGACCAATATCTTGTGCAATTTTCATAGCATCATATGATAAACCAGAGAGCCCTCTCTTTGTAAACCCAACAGCATATAGTCCAACATTTCCTTTCCAACCATTTGGAAATGGTGACTTTGGAAATCCATTCTTTGAGAAAAACTCACCTTCCTACACACACAAAAATTAACCAAAATTTCATTAGTTCATTGCTCCACACAAAAATACTAAAAAATTCAAAATTTATCTCTAAATTCATAGTTAATTATATTAAACCAAATAAAAACATCTAAATCTAGTTTTCTCACCTTAAGCCAAAAAGGAACATTGCTCCTATAACCAGTAGCAAGAACAACAGCATCAACTTCATTCTTTTCACCATTAACAAGCTCAACAAAACCATCAAAAAACCTCTTAATTCCAGGAACAACTTTTATATCCCCAGATCTAATTTTCTCCAAGGTACCAATATCCAAGACAGGTGTTTTCCCCTTTCTGTTCTTCAGCTCCAAAGGACCCTCCAATGGCCTCTTAATCCCATACTTCTCAATATTACCAAAAACCAACCAAGCCAACATCAACAGAATCTTGTCAACTAACCAAACTGGTAACCATTTCATCATCATAACCGCCAATTCAAATGTCGATCTCCCCAGCATTTCTCTAGGTAACACATGAACCTATTTCACCGCATGGAAAAAAACTCAATAAGTCTGAGTAGGATCAAAAGTTAAAAATCATTTTACATTAGTTTATACTCACCGAACTGCGAAGAACAACAGAGGGTGATGCATTATGATTGCAAAGATCAAGAGCGAGTTCCATTCCGGAATTACCACAACCAATAACTAAAACTTTCTTCCCTCGAAAACCTTCGCCGGATTTATAATCACAAGCATGAATAACTTGGCCGTTGAAGTCACTCAACCCTTCGATATCAGGCACAACACACTCTGCATTTTCGCCAGTAGCAACAACAAGCCACCTACAAATATACTCAACTTCATTTTGATTGGAAACAGTTTCATTTTCAGTTTCAGTTTTAGTTTTAACTCTCCATAATCCAGTATTCTCGTCGTATTTAGCAGACAAAACACACTCGTTAAACTGCGGGTTGATTTCGAAGTGTTTCGCGTATGATTCAAGGTAGTTTATGAACTGTTTCTTTGATGGATATTCAGGGAAGTCTTGTGGGAATGGAAAGTTAGGTAGTTGACAGAACTGTTTTGGGAGGTGAAGTTTGAGTCTGTCGTAGGTTCGGTTTTGCCAGAGTGAAGCTATGCAGTTTGACCTTTCGAGTATCATGAAGGGAACTCCTTGTTGGTTGAGGCATGCTGCTGTGGCTAAACCTGATGGTCCTGCTCCTACAATGATAGGACCGTTAACCCAAACGCAACGAGGTGAGATTGAGTCTTGCCGGCTATCGACTAGGCGAAACAAGGTCTCCATTGAGAGTTTGTGGAGGAAGAAGCTATGGGAGTTGAGAGAGAGAATGGTGAAGAAATGAGGTTATGAGTTTGGAATGAATGGTGAGAGAGAAGGGGTTGAGGGACTTAAATAGGGGTTTGGTGTGTCATGAAGTGGAGAGTTAATGTGCTTTTTGCCTTATTATTGTTATTTTTTTAAAACTTGGTATGAGTTTATGAGACCAACTAATTCAAATAGACTAATTCTATTGTCTATTAACAAGGCTTATTTAAAGGTAGATTAAAATCCTTATGGACTAACTCAATTACAAAGAGTTTAATTAATAAGCTATTTAAGGTTTTTTCCTAAGTTGCCTTCACAAAAACATGGATAAGTTATTCATTATAATATAGAGTTATTTATAAATAGACATGTATAAATAGAAAAATGAAATTTTATTCTTAAATTAATAAATCAATATTAAATAGTTGTATGGTTAAGATTATCCATGTTTCTTATTATTGAAATACATGTGTTATTATTTAATTGAATATATGTCAAATGAATAAATTACTCATATTTTTATTGGATAACCTAGACTGCTAATTAATATGCACTTCACAGTAAAAAAAATAGTTTTTCTCTATTATTATTATTATTATCATTATTATAATAATAATTATTATTATTATTATATACTACAAAGTTGGCATGCTTCAAAATTTGTGTAGAGTTAGCAATTATTTGGTGGGGACTTATCCTTTCCTTCTAAAGTTTTCTCACCACGTTGCCTATTTTACTATAAAAGGAATTTCATCACAATATATATATAATTTTAGAGTTGAAGTTGTTTCACTTGGTAAGATTCAGCTCATACTATATAGATATTTAAATTTGAGTTATGCTGCCAATCATAAAGGGCTTTGGGTATTTGTTGTATTCATGTTACATATTTAAAAAAGAATATAATATCTTATAGTCTCACATCAAAAAGTTGTGAAAGATGAATAGAATGATCGGTATATAAGAACAATACTAATACCGGTGTATTCGTTCGGGTATCAGTCTTGTTTTTTAATTGGTTGGAAAAAAATGAATAGAAAAAAATTAATTAATAAAATAATTGTAAAATTAAATTTAAAAAATTGAAATTATAAGTGAAAAAAATGTGAAAGCCTATTATGATAAAAACATTGTTAATAGAGAAGTAAAAAAATACTTTAATTGAAAAAAAGTGGGATAAGAGAAAGTGAAAAAAATGTAAAACAAAAATTGTTTAATCAAAAAAGTGGGCGGATATTTTTTTTAAAATATAACAAAAATAATATTAAAAAAATTAAATTGTTCAACCAAAAAAATTATTATTTTTAAAATTATATAATAAATTAGTGCCTATAATTATTTTTATATATAAAAATATTTGAATCAACAATGTATTACTTTTTATATAAATATTATTTTTATATTAGAATCAAAAATGAACATTTTTACATTATTATTCAATATTTTGATCAGTAACTTCATGTTTCGTTATAATTATTTTATTTTCATGTTAGAAAAAAGACAACTTATTATTTGATTAAAAGAATTTTTTAAAGAATTTTTTGAAGAATTTTTTAAATTATTTGATCAGTAACTTCAATTATAACTAATTTTTTAAATACAAATGTATCAGTTATTATTAAAAGAAATAATAATTAATTTTTTGAAAGAGTTATAAAACTTATCAATATTATAAATAACATCAAATAATAGTAATATAAATTTTAAATTTAATATCGATTATGAATTTGTTTTTAATAATTTTTTTGAAATAATAATAAAAAAATGTTATAATAATTTAACATTTAAAAATATTTGAATGATAAATAAAATGTTATAATTATAATAAATAAATTAATTATTTAAAAACATATAATTAAGATAATAAATTGATAAATCTAATCTATAACAATATATGAAGGCAATACATTGTTTTGGTGTAACCTATTTTTTTCCTCTCTTTTACCCTTTAAAACTACTTAGAAGTTACACAAATAAAAATTAACTACTCTCTCCATTTTATATTTGAATATTGTACAAAGTAATTATTTATTTGAAAAGAAAACTCACTTTAACTTCTAATTAAAAACTATATTTAAATAACTTCTCCTTATAAGTTATGTCTTTCATTTCTAACTCATTGGGTCCATAGAAGTAAAAAATAGAGAAGAAGAAAGTCTGCATGAGGAAAATTGGAATCCAGACAATGTTCATGATGGTGGTAGAAAAGAGAAATCTACAATTGGCAGATGTCATAATATGGATTGTGAATCACACAATGATCTCTGTTAGAGTTAATTATTAGGGCATTTAGATTCTTCAATCTAATTTTTTGATTTGGTTTTTTATTTATTTTCATTTACTATTTTGTTCTTCTTACATAAACAAATCCATATGTGAAATTGGGGTTTGAAAATTGAGATTATTGAATTTTTTTAATGTCTAATACTTTAATTTTTCTCTCTATTGTAGAAGAAAAATGAATCATTATCTCTTACGAAAGAAATAAAATGTGTTCTAATTTCTAGATCAAATAACAATGACTATTTTTATTATATTTTTTAAATTTTGGTTTTCTCTCTTGAATCTTTATCTATTATTGTTTCAATTTTACATGTGTAATTTGCAAAAATTTTAAAATATAAACAATATCTCAATTTTTAAATTGTATAATTTCTACAATGTGACGTAAACATTAATCTATACTTATCTATACCTATAGATAAAGACAATATAACATTTTGGACTAACCTATATTTGTTAGATATTTGACATTTAACTGTTATTTTAAAACCAACCACATATACAAAATAAATTTAGTAAATAATAATTGTTTCATTCTCAATTTAAAACTTTAACAATTTTTTATCATCCTTATCTTTAACTTCCTAAACAATTATCTCTCTTTCACTTGCCAGTTATTTTTCTCTCTCTCATGAATTGTTAATTTCATCTAAATTCTCTTTCACATGCAATTTTGTCTTTCTTTCCATTATTATTGAATCTTTGAATTGTGTGAATTGTGTATACTGTCAATGTGTCTTTGTGATTACCTACAGTATAAATATATAAAAAAACGGTTTTGTAGAAAGTTAGAGTTGTTACAAACCATTGTATATCACTGTATATTTTACCAATTATCAAGTCATTTACTATACTGTCATTCAACTCCTCAGAAATACAAACTTGAACTATATATATTTAATTTTTTTTATCAATGCATCAGAAAATAATTGATCATTTTTAAAATATCCAAAAATATATATGATACTTAATTATTTGTGTATGTTGTTATTGAGATTAATCTCTAATCTTGTCATCTATAAGACTCACATTCACAAATAAAATTACAATAATGGTAAATATAGGCTTTAGAGTTTTCTTTTTGTATAATGTCAAGTCTAAGGCTATGAATGATATTAAGGGTTGAATATCGTTTAAAGATTGAATGTATTAGTGTTTATGTTTCCATCATGATTTTTTGTTTAATGATAACCAATTATTAGCTACTTAACAAAACAAAGAAAGAGGAACAAATAAATGTCATGTGCAAATGAGATTGGGATATATAGAGAGGTAGAGAGACTGATGAGTGATATAAAAAAAGAGCTAGAGAGAGACGAAAAGAAAGTGAGAAAAAGAGAGAGAGAGAGAGAGAGAGAGAGAGAGAGAGGAAACATATATTAACATATATTAGTGGCAACATCCACAGATAAGTTATAAGAAAGGGGTAATTTACAAAAATAAATAACATTTACCACATTATTTTCTTTTCTAAATATGTCTTTTTTTATTGAACAGAATATCGAGCATGAAAAATAATAGTAAGATTATTAATGTTCTTTATTGTAAAATATGTGAATATTTTATTTTTTTTTATTTTATATCCATTTATAATTTGTATGATTTCTACATTGTGATATTATTAAAATTTTAAGACATTAAACAATATACATTGGTTGTCTTCTTACTTTTATTTTTTTAATTATGTAAATAATATTATTTTATATAACATTTAATTTATTGATAAGTTTTAATTTTCACATTCTACACTTTAGATTATTAAGTTAATTTTAAGTTGACATTTGCATTGTTAAATTGGTCTGAAGACATTACTACAACATATTAAAGTTAATATGTATCATTATATTTTTATTTTTTTATAATTGTTCCTAAGTAATATTATGTTTAATGGAATATATGTCAAAAACACTATTAAAAAAATTGCACGTGTTAGCGCAATAAAAAAAGCGGACAAACGGGCACGGAGTGCCTGTTTGAACGCTAGTTATAATAAATAAAGTATTTGGGAATCGGTTGAAGAAGGTTCTAAAAGGGCGGTTTTTTTTATTGTATATTTCCAAAAAAGAACCTTAGTCAATGTATTTTGAATTACAAATATATTTGAATATGTCACTTCCTTAAGTTTCCAACTACATAAGCAGCATACAGGTCCCTACAAAAAAGGAAAGGACAACAAAACTCATGTATAAAATCTAAATGAATCATTTGATGTCCAATGGAAAAAGTAAAAACACTCACACAATTTGCTCTAGAGGAAGTATTCTACAGAATTGTAAAGGATAGTAAGCTTACATGAAGTGTTCACAATAAGTTGATTGAAAAGTAAAGGACACAATTTGTTAAGTTGAAGTGACACAATGAACCTTCACTTCATTGATATGCACACCCACACCAACAGAAAGGGATCATGCTGCAACCATGCTCGCAAACTGCTGCCAAAATCCCAATATTTGAAGGAAACCAATCTCAATTCTAACTGATACAAGGAGAATGAAGCTCGACTTTTTTCATTTTCTTCATCACTGGTTCATCGCACCAGTAATTCATTGTCATCGGAATTAACGATCTTTATTGGTTGTTCGTACAATCAAGAACATGTGACCTGGATTTAGGTTTAGAATGTATTTTGAGATCATATTATCCATAAACATGGTCCATAAGCTAATGAAACCTAAACATAAGACTCATTGAATAGT